GGCTCGTATCATTCATCATGGTAAGAATATTAGTAACGCAATATCATATATAGGTCCGGTCTAAACTTGACCAGAGAGAATTGTGAAATCAGTGAACAATAAAAGAGATAAGAAACGACCTTATCAGATGCTGCAGTCAGGCTTGAACCAACATGGTTATACAAAAGGATTTTGAGGGTACCATGGACCGAACACGTGACCAACGACGTGGTCTTACAGGAAATAGAAACAAAAAAGAAACTGATACTTAACATCAAGAAGAGGCAGTTGAAATTTCTGGTGCACGTAATGAGAAAAGCAGCGGGTAACATACTTGATGAACTTGAGTGATAGAAAAGGGTTTGAGAGAAATAACAGAAAGACAAAAATTACTAAGAGTTACAAGGGACAGGAAGATGTGGAGGGCCATGCCCGACTACGTCCTGAAGGGACACGGCATATAATAGAAGAAAACTGAAGTCACTAATCTCTGATTGATTTGAATCTTAACCGATTCATAGTATATCTCTGTTTTTTTTCTCTATTATCCTATATGTCAAATTGTGCTGCTAATATTTTTGCAATGATAAGTGATATTGTATATGACCCCAGGTCAAAATCCCCTACGGTCAGACCGAACTCACCATCGCAGTGTTATTGATCGCACTATGCGACGTACGAATTAACCAAGAATAAACTGGAATTAACATGGAATTAACTAAATTACAATTCCAGCAGATATTAGTGAGTTTAGTACAAACCCCGCCACCCTACAAAAAGGATCAGATAAAGATCTTTATTACTTTGTCCCATAGCCCAGTACCTTTTCTCACACACGGGTTTGTCTCTTATTCAACGCCTAAATATATTGGGACAAGAAGATATCTTTAAGGAATGTAGATATTTGAAAAAGTCGGGACAAAGTCCGACAATTATTTTGAGACATTTTTTATGTTTATACGTTCTTTTTATAGATCCAAATATTTAACTAAATGCTCTGTTTATAATAAATTCGGAGAACGCATATTTTCTCTAAAAATTTCTCGGACATTCAGGCCGGTAAATGTGGTTAATAAACAGAGCATTTTTCTTAAATATTTTCATCTATAAAAAGAACGTATAAATATAAAAATGTCTTTTATATATATATATATATATATATATATATATATATATATATATATGTATATACAGACTCGGTGTTGACCTCAATATCCACTTTTATATTTTACATACACTGCACTGTATCTGATATTGAGCACTTTTCCCGATTTTACGCATAAATCTATCATAGGATAAAACTATATTTTTTATCATTTATATATATATATATATATATATATATATATATATATATATATGGCTGACGATTGCGTCTACCATGAAACAGCCTTTTGCCTCTAAGTGTTGACTTCAATGTTCACTTTTATATTTACACACGCTCTATCTCTGATATTGAGCACTTTATCCCATAAATATAGCACACCTTAAGAATATATTTCTTCATATGTATATATATATATACATAGGAATATATATATATACATACAATTTTATATATATATATATATATATATATATATATATATATATATATATATATATATATATATATATATATATATATATATATATATATATAAAATTAAATTAAATAGCCCTTTGAGGTTTATATGCTATAAAACAAAACAAAACAAACGAAATCACAAAAACACGGAATCACAAAATAACGGAATAATGGACTTACGGAATAACCGAATAATGAAAACACACGACGGAATGCTGAAAAGTATGTCGGACCAACATCCTCAATTCTGGCCAAATGAGTAAACATTAGATTTTTCTTTTTTTTTTTTTTTTTTTTTTACTTTTTTTGGGAAGGGCCTCTACATGGGCTTGTAAACCTTTCTTTTTCCTTCCATCATGGATTGTCTATATTATTTATTTCAAAACATATGAGATCTGTTCAGGAGGCAGTCAGGCATTTAACATTAGCAATACATAAAATAACTCGGATATGTTCTTTTCAAAGTACATCTTTGTGACATTACTTATTTTTATTGGTGATCTTTGCCCTTTCTCAAAATAATCTTAGTATCCTATTTTCTGATCACAATCAGAAGCCTGCTTATATTTCTGTAATGGTAATAATGCAAGACTAAATCAGCATCAAATTAACGTCGGTTGAATCAAGAGAACGTGGCTTCGCGTTTTCTTCGAACATCCTATCTTCTTCGTTTCAGGGATTCTGCCTCTCATCTCGTAGGTCGGGCCTTCATATAACCATCACTTATCCGGCTGACATATGTGTGCATATCCTAAGTTTAGTTAGGGTCACTTCCTTGTTTATGTTAGTTCCATCACCGACATCATCTGAGGCCCGATTCTTCTCTTGGGAGCTTCGGAGTTACCTTCTAGGTTTCTTGACGTTCTAATGTGACACCGAGTTAAAACTTGGACATCTCTTAGGGTCATATTGGGGTCACTGCAGATCAACTCCACTTAAATCAAAAGTTTCTGTTGGATATTAAATTCGATTCATTCTTCTGGTGTTTCCTGGTGAGAATCCCATATTACATTTCCCTAGTTTCGCCTACGACCTGACATTTTCATTTCATTAGCAATTTTGAAAAAAAGTCCAGGCTTTCATATAACTTCCTGCTGCTGTGAATTCAATATGGACAGTAGGAGAGAGTAACACCTCTGAGTGATGCAATGCTTTATCCCAAAACAATAGACGCGAAAAACGAGCAGTGACAGGCTCTTTATTATTTTGACGGTCACCCCGTAGATAAGCTCACATAATATTACTGTTGAGTAACCTCATAGAAGTATGCTGGTTGGCACATGCGCAGTAAGGTGCTTTCGGATTGATTTTTAAGTTACAGGAAATCTGTGCAATTGGGTATAAAATAATTCAAAATAGCTTTATAGTTTCCGTACAAAATATATCGTATTTACTCGTCACCGCATGAGGGAAATATAATAGAACGTCTAACATGTAGGTTCACATGCGTGCGTGTAGCCACATGACAAAATTGCCCAATCCATGCAGCCTCTGAAACAATTTTTTTCTGTAACCCATGATCCACCATTTTTTGTGCAAGGAAGTGAAAATTCTGCCTATCAGCCACGCTTCACTTGTGTCGTGTCTTGCCTGTAGGCGAGATAAGCTTATTCACGACAAAAGGCCAGAAAGCAATATTTGTCATGTTCTTCTGAAGTTTCCCGATCTTTCTGAGAGTTAAATAATTTATCAGCACATAAAAAGTTGTTTAGTGTGTGGGCAAAATTTGGTTCTGCAAAGACGGGTTTATCGAGGTCCAATTCCTCTTTGGCGGGGCAATGATATGTGCACGAAGAAGCACTGTATACTAAGATACCTGCTGAAAAGTCACAGAAAACAACAAAAGAAAAACGCTTCGAGGATTCTGTTAGAAAAGAAACAAAAAAAATCTTCGTTAAAGGCGTATTACTGCTAAAAAAAATAAAAATAAAATAACACAAAACAACAGTAATTACAAAAAAATTCAGTGTCTGCATTCTTGCAAATTTAGCGTCGCCGGAGTTGAGTTGTGGTGACATTTGAGAATCCACTGGTGGATAAATAATGAGTCTTTTTGTACTTTTAAAACAGCCGAAGTTTTCTTATCGACATAATAATAGCAGCGTTTTCTGCTGACTCAGTGCTAAGTCAGTATTACCGGTAGGTCTTTGTTAAAATTCTTAAGTTCATCTATCATATTAGTGAACGGATGTTTTATCCACGTCATTAGCTGTTATGTTTCGAAAGTCATTTTTAACTTAGCGTTCAAATTGCATCTAATTTTTATTTTTACCTTCAAATATTTTCTAAGTATACAGAACACTAAGACTTGCCTGGACTAATGTGCTATGTTTTAGCAAAAGAAACGAGTTCATATCAAATTCTTAGTACTCTTCTAGTTATATTTATATTACTTTGTAGTTATAGATATAGTACTTTTCATTGCTATATCACTAACAACTGACTGGCCTTGTAATCATGTATAGTATTGTATGCTACAATTGCATTCAATACACAACATGACAAAAGTATCTTATGCATAACAATTTAACAAATGCATTAGTCAACCACAATTTTGATCTAAAGAATGCCAAACTTATTAAAAGAGAAAGTAACTTACTTAAATGGGAAATTATTGAAAGTGCCGCTATCGAATTTTGCCAAAATATAAATCTGCGACCCGACATTTTCCCAAATATTTTCATGCCTTAAATATACTCGTTTCTCTAACGAAGATACATAACTATAATTCTTTTAGAAATTCAAAGAAAACGGTTAAATTAAACACCTTCTATTATTTAATATATATATATATATATATATATATATATATATATATATATATATATATATATATATATATATATAAATTAATATATTAATAAATTAATCGCAAACTAAATTAATATGAATAATAATTACATTGTAAAAAATCAACAACAATAAGATTTACGCACTTTCGTCTCTCAGGCGTTGAATTATATCACTTAGCATCCTCCATAATTTACCTTGATTTTCAGTTAGCCTAATGTATATTTGTGAGCGTTCTTCAATTTTAAAATTCTTAAAGCACTAAAATGTTTTCTCTTGTTTATAAATACTTGTTGCGAAATAAAATCCTTATATTTGCCTCCATCAGAGGACGAAACGCGTTGGCTAAGATGAATTTTCCTTTTGTTTTCTTTTATTCGTATTGTCCTTTACAGATATATTTTTTAGCTATATCTTAATTTTTACAGAACGTTCAATCTACCATAACAAAAAACAACAACAAAAAAACAAACAAAAAAAACAAAAAAATAACAAACAAACAAAAAAAAACACCGTATTACTCAAATTTTGACTGTGGTATTAAAGTTGTATAAGGATGACGTCTGGAGTGTTTATAGTTGTACGGTAGGAACCCAACTGTATATAATTTGGTTATGTTGAACTATTAAGTTTGTTATTTATTCCGAACATTGATTTAATCTAAATGGAACCGCTTTCAATGGATGACTTTCAAGTCTGGAACAACCGTTTATGTAAATGTTATTCTATGTCCATTTTATATATGCATCATTGGAAAGATAGAAGAAAGATGACGTCAGCATTGGTAGTGCTCATAATCGCCTATCCTACTGTATTTTTGTTTATAAACTGCTGTGACCAAGTAATTGATTAAGAAATAACAAAATAAGAGGTTTCAGATAAATAGTGTATTGAACAGTAAATACAACAGAAGTGTGTTAGACAGCTTGGGGGTGTGTGTCGGTTGACCAGCATTCAGTCTATATCACTATTATATTTAGCAGATAAACCGACCCCACTCCCGTAGTATTACAAGCCATATCACAAATAGAAGTCGGACACGTGTTGCCCGTACCAAGGTTCGTGATGAAGAGATTGAATTTAACGTCTTTTGATGTGATGTCCGTATTTCTGACAAGAACAGTTTTTGTTAAAAACTTATCATATCTCACTGTATCTGCATGTTTGTGTTCATACTTACTAGATTTGGCGATAGCGATATTTTATAATCTAGTTTTGTTGAACTCATATTTTGGCATCCAGTTTGATTTCTTTAAGAAACTTGGAAGATAAAATATGGATTAATGTCATGAAACAGTTATTTCATATTTAGCAGCATATCAACACCTTTGTGGGTTATTTAATGCTAAAAGGGAAATATTTTGAACAAACAGTTTATGACTTCAACTAAGTATTTTGAACGCAATTGTATGCTTTCAAACACAGGTAAAATATATTTTTCGTTACTTTGCTATAAAATATACTGTTGGTAATTTTTCCATATAAAAAGTGTATTGTTTGTATTTTTACTATAATAAATGTATTTTTTATACTTTCATAACGTTTTATTTACTTTTTTTTAGGGGGTCACTCACCCCGGGTCAGGGTGGATCAGGGAACAACAGGAATTAAGAGATGGTACCACACTCCTCAAAATTTCCAATCTCCCGATCAGAAGCCTTGCTGCAGGATATAGTTTATCATCATACCCAGGACTACGCCAGTTTAAATATTCTGGACAATAAAACATTAATGATAAAGCAAAGCATATATCTATAGACATTCTGTTACTCTTGTCCATTCCGAAAATATCGTCCATTGACTTTCAATTTTTTTAACAGAATATTAAAGACATAATTACCGTTTGTTTAATTCGTACAAAGTACTCGGCATCAGCCGACTTCATATCTGAGTATGAAGAAAACCATTTAATGAATTCGGAATCCCAGTTGCAATGGAAAACATTTATTGTGTTGACAGGTGACAAGAAGTGACCAATCCCATCTTCTTCTTCTCAGACTGTAAATGCTCGTTGTTAAACGTAGGCCTTCCCCAAGCCTCACCAACATTGCCGTTCATGGGGGAGGAATGGACCATTATCCTACCGCTCTAGATCGATGCGTGATGGTAGAGGCTTAAGCGATCATATCTTTTTTCGATTCTTGATTGACTTGGCAGAATATTTCCGCAGTATGTTGCCGTTACTTTCTGCGGCAGACTAGTTTCCAATTAAGGCTAAACGACCCAGTCTGTTCTGCTATTTAACCCATAACTGAGGAATGTTCCTTTCCGTTGAAATGAATTTAATCTATCTATCCACGACAATGAGATAAAAATAGCGTACGTTTTATTATCATTATTTGAACTTAAAATATTAAGTACATCTATCTATCTATCTATCTATCTATCTATCTATCTATCTATCTAAGTCTGTCCATTATTTATCTATCTATCTATCTATCTATCTATCTATCTATCTATCTATCTATCTATCTGGCACAATCTATCTATCTATCTATCTATCTATCTATCTATCTATCTATCTATCTATCTCAGTCTGTTCTGATCTATTTCAGTCTGTTATGATCTATCTATCTATCTATCTATCTATCTATCTATCTATCTATCTATCTATCTATCTATCTATCTCAGTCTGTTCTGATCTATTTCAGTCTGTTATGATCTATCTATCTATCTATCTATCTATCTATCTATCTATCTATCTATCTATCTATCTACTGCGTGTAGATAGGGGACGGATGTGGCATGCTTAGGTGATCATGCCACTTTTTGATTCATGATTGATTGATTGATAGAAGAATTGCTGTTACAATTTGTGGTAGACTGGTTTCTAACCAGGGCTATAGAACTCAACCTGGACAGTAATTTAACCCATAAATTCTGGCGGGAAAAAACCCAGATTCATACATTTCCCAAGTGTATTTGTGCGTAAGTAAATGTAAGGAATTCGACTCCTCGGTTTCTCATTCCGAGCCATTATCCATCAAACCGTCCGCACATACACACTTACAGCATCTGGAATTTCAAAGTTGGTCACACATCTATACACTGACCGGTCTGAACGTTACTTAATTTCGTTAATTGGACGTGAACTGGTGTTTCAACCCGGTATGGCCGTAAGCCTGTCAATCCTATTAATATTGCTAATTCTGGAGATTGCGTTTACATGCTCACCAAATATCAAAACTGTCTTAAAGAATGACCAACCTTGAATATTTAAGATCTACTGTCAAAACGTATATATAAATTAGGAATGATTAATGTGATGTGTCAGTCATTTTGTGTAGAAGCTGTTTGGTTTGAAAACCAACATTGGAAAATATGGCTGTTTGGACATGGATACCAACAAATGGTACCAATGGTAGAGACAAAGCAGACGATAGATATTGAATCAAATGTCGATAGAAAGGATGAGCTGTGGGCTGAAAATATTCGGGAATCTTGGATTTCGGCAAAAGTCATTTCGCTCCTCTTTTTATCTCTAACATTTCTTGCAGATACCGTTACAATTATCCACGATGTGTCTAATAACGGGCCACAACAAAAGACACATGGAATTAAAAATAACAATATATATATATATATATATATATATATATATATATATATATATATTGTGGACTCACCCGTCGTATTCGTCAAGCAGCTCAGATCCTAGGAACCGCCAGCACGTATGATTTGATTTTAGCGGTGAAGGCTTTGTGCAGAACCATCCACACTTTTTGAAGGGCCGATTACAGAGACCTGATGCACTACATGCCACAAGGTCCCCAAACGACCCCCCGCAGGTTTTGAATTCAGAGTTTTCCTTCTCCTAGACCAGTTTCCATCCAAGGCTATAGAACCCTGTCTGTCCTTCTATTTACCCAAAGCTGGACGGAGAAGAAGAGGATTAATACCTTTTCCAAAGCTATTAGCCCGTAAGTGAATGTAATGGATTCGAATGGAATTCGAACTCAGCTATATATATATATATATATATATATATACAGTGTGTCCATAAAGTTCGCGTGCACTTTAAAAATTATAACTTTATTTGTATTTGCGATAGAAATAATTTGTAAAAAGGATTAGAAAGAAGCAAATCTATATTTTTTATGGTTTTACTGAAATTTTATTTAAGTTTCCACATGTCCTGCATCATTAGCAATACAAAGGGTAATACGATTTTGCAGTTCACGGAAAACATTTGCTAACTGATTTACAGTAATGCTTGAAATCACATTAGTTATTTTAGCTATACTTAAAACTAGGTACATTAAACTTTATAACATTTTTTTACAGATTATTTCTATCGCAAATACAAATAAAGTTATATATATATATATATATATATATAGTACATCTAATAAATCCGCTGGTACATAATCCAAATGGATCCTAGTAATATAAAATATAGAAATTAATCCACAAAAAGAACTCAATGTATTTATTATAACAGAACATATAAATAATATTGCACAACAAAAGCCAAGATTACCTCATATAGGGGGAGACAGATCTATATTAAGCGACAACAACAAATAAATCAGTTCTATTCAAGCCTGTTGGAATTAGAAATTTAATTTTTCGACAGCTGTCAAAGTTAAATTTCTAATTCAAACACGAACTTAGTTTGTACGCTGGAATTGAGTAAAACTGACGTAGTTGTCATCATCGGTTGAAATAGATCTATTACCCCGACCGTATGAGGTAATTTTGGACTTCGTTAATGTAACATATATATATATATATATATATATATATATATATATATATATATATATATATATATATAATTATTTATTTAAAATATGATTCCAAATCGCTACATAAGATGTCTCATGTTTCAAAACAAGAGCCGAAAACTTCAATATAATCCTTTAAATTAAATTGAGTTGAAAGTAAAATGGGCTCCGTTCCATCTTCAAGCGAAATTTTTGTTGGAATCTATATATATATATATACCGGGTGTAACAACATAATTGTCCATCCCACAATATGCTTAATATCTAAAAAACACGTAACCAATTGAGTTTCTTTTTTCCAGGTTTTCAGATAAGGCGTTTAGACATATTGACAACATCTTTCGTAAGAATCATTGAAAAACCCTTTGAGTTAGTCAGTTTAGAATCGTTTTGTGTCAGCAAAATTAGCAATGGTGAGAGGAAAAAGATCATTCAAGCCCTCAGTAATGGTACTAATATTCATACTCTGGTTTCCATCTTCATTATTTCTCATTTTAAAAAAACAAAACAAAAACAAAACAAAACACAAGGGCGTTCATGCCTGCCATCGGCTCCTGTTACTTTTAATATCTGCAAATTGAAATGACGATTCTTGGCAAAGAAACTAAAAATGCATTCTCGTTATCTTTTCCATGGTTTTGAATTCCAAATTGTCCTTCTAGATTGCCCTACAAAGGCTAGAGAATCCGGTTCGCCCTGTTATTTTCACCATAGCTGAATAATTCTTGAGTTAAATAGAATTTGTTTAATCATAGTTATCTCTAATATATTGGAAATATTCAAGTAAAGTTAATTACCTTGAAAATCAACATTCGAAATTAGGACTGTGTGGGAACGAACACTAACCATGGGAAAGGCAGAGTAGGCCACACAAACAACACCAATCGAGTTCGCAGTTGAAGAGTTGCGGTCTTCAAATTAAACGTTTATTTAAACTTCGGGAAACATAGATTTCGATACAACCCAAATTCATCTTCTCATTTTTCCTCTCATATTTATTCACTATTATTCTTGATAGCCCAGCTACGGGTTAAATAACAGCGAAGACTGTGTCCCTTTTTTTTACCTTTGGGCTTCCTGTATATATTCGAGCGATTTCGGCTATTCTATTAACCATTATTTCTTTCTTTTTATGTGCCATGTCCTTTCAGAACGTAGGTGATCATGGCTCTCCACCTCCTTTTATTCCTTGCAGCTCTCACCAAGTTCCTTCCTTCTGTTACCTCCCGCAGACCACATTCTGTCATCCACTTGCTTAAGCCCGCCAGGTATGTCACGCGTTGTTTTCCATTGTCTCTCTTTCCCTTTATTCGACCCGTGAGTATTAGATTCTCCAACCCCTCCTTCCTCATAATGTCCCAGAAACAGCTGCCTCTTTCTGATGTTAAGTATAAGCCTTCTCCTTGTTTGCAACTTAAGACCTCATCATTGCTCACACGCTCGGTCCCTGATATCCTCAGCATCCTTCTGTAGAACCACATCTCTGTCGCTTCGAGTCTCTTCTTCATCTTTGAGGATATCGTCCAACATTCGCTGCCGTAAAGAAGGACAGATGTCACGTAATAGCTCAATATTCTTTTCTTTGTTACCAAAGAAATCCTCCTGTCTCGCAATACTCTACTCAGCTTTTGGAATGCGTCCATGGCTATACCAATATGTCTGTGGATCTCAGTATCGCACTTACCGTCCTCTGTCAAAACACTTCCCAGATATTTAAACATCCACACCTGCTTGATTCTAGTGTTCCCGACCTGCAAATTGCATCTTGCACTCATCCTTTTACTGATGACCATGCATTCTGTCTTCTTGTAGTTTATGCTTTGTCCTTTCTTCACACTCTCCATTGCTATCCATTGTAGGAGATTTTGTAATTTTTTTCCATGTCTGCTATTAGTACTGTGTCATGTATGTATCTTATGTTATTAAGGTTGTGATTGCCAATGCTAAATCCAGGTAGTATTTCCAATTCTTTCAGAATTGCCTCGCTCTATAGGTTGAACAGGTCGGATGAGAAGATGCATCCTTGCCTTACGCCCCTTTCTATTTTTGTATATTCACTGAATCCCTATGCTTATGCATACGTCCGTCTGCATCTGTATCGCTATTTCTGACAACATTCTGAGCATGATGATTGTGTTCATTGTTCAGGTGTCTGTAACGAACCCGCACTGTTCTTGTCCTATCTCTGGTCTGATTCTGCTGCGTGCTTTATTCATCAGAATACGGATGATGAGTTTTGTCATGTGGCTCATTAGGCTTATTGTTCGCTGGAGTTCGCTTTCCTTTGCACATGGTTTCTTTGGTATAGCTATAAAGATAGATCTGCTGAGGTCTTCCGGTATATCCCCGCTGTTGTAGATTTCATTTGTTATTTCGGTGATCGTCTCTATGCAAAGTCATCTAAGCCTGTCAGCATCTCCGCTACAATTCCGTCTGGCTTAGCTGCCTTGTTTCTGTTCAATTTGGCTGATTTTTGAAATGATTATTTAGATTTTTATATATGTGAAATGTATATATATATTGAAATTCTACACCAGTCACTTTCCCAATTAGAATCATAATAAAGTAATATAACTTCATTCAAACCTACGAGATCTTTTTAAGGCAGAGAGCACCCCTCGCCTAGCAATAATTATAAAAATATCTTAACAAAAACTTCAAAACTCACACAAAAGAATTAAAAATCAATTCGAATATTGTCAACAGAAGATCCGATGAAGCTAATACATATGTAATTTTAGAGAAACTGGATTATTATAAAAAAAACTTTACATCATTGACGATTGGTTTAAATTTACTAAATTAAATAAAAACACCTCGGAGGATGAAACAGTGTGGACGTAGGATCTTTGAAAATTAACAAAATCATTGGAAATTTCCAACTTGGATAGCTATAAGTAAACGTTAAAATACATAAATCCGGATACCCAATACGACCCTTCATGTCACAGACCTCAACACCTATTTACCAGTTATCAAAATTCATCAATTATA